CGTCGTGGATGTCACCGCCCCCACCAATCGACTCAGAAGCCGACGCCCAGTAGATCCCGACCTGCAGCCACCGTCGCCGTCACTGTTTGGCCAGAAAACGGAGCCACTGCCGTCATCCGTGGAGGGAAGAGGTGGTTCCGACGATCTAACCGTTGGATCGTAGTGACTTTGGTGTCACAACACTTAGAAGGAAGCGGGTAAGAAAACCCCTCAACCAATTTTAAGAATTGATGATCGGAATACTGAGATTTGGGTCGCCAAATTTTACCGATGTTGCCGGTCCCGGTAGGTACTGTTACAGGCCGAATGGTGTGAAATTGACCGCACCAATGGACTCAGAAGGGTCAAGTTAGGGGGGTTAAGACCCAAGTCCGCCGCGGAAAAACTCTCCGGGAGCCTCCGCCGCCATATTCCGGCGAGGTGTCGTTTCTCAGGCTATCGACATCCGTTTGATGATCCGAGACCATATCCCGACTCGTTTTGACGTGCTGAACGAAATGGTGACGTCCATTCAACCAAATTCAATTCTGATAAGAATGGTCTAGTACTAGTTACACGCGGATCGAGGTGGTTCGGACTAAACAAGTGAAGATCAGAATCGAGTGTTTAAAGCTATGATGTTCCTCAAGGATCATTCATAGTGCTTGCAGCTTTTCCCAAAATTAGTTTTGAGGAATACGCAGGAGGACACGACAAGCGAGATACTATCAGAACCGCTTAGCTCGGAATCCAGGCAAGTACAAACCTTGCTTACAGTTTAATTAAGATAGTCATATAAAGCGTATGATTTTCACGAAATACGTTAATTATGAGATTCGTGAATTAGGTTTATGTTTATGTTAAACGTCGTATATAGTTTTCCAATAAAACTTAATGGTTTTTAAATAAGCATGTAAGCGAAAATCGTAAAGAAACGATACGCTAGACCTCAATTTTACGACGGTAAATATGGACCTCAACACTATTATAAGCCCGTCAAGCGAGGTAAAGTAAAGTTTATTAAAAGTGTATTATGGATGATGATTTAATTAATTATTAAAACTAATTAATTAAATTATTTAAGACTTAGAATATGGTTAAGGAAGTTAATTAATTACTAAGATTAATTAACTAACTTATGTAGACTTAGTATATGAATAAGAGGGTTAATTAATTACCAAAATTAGTTAACTAAATTATTAGACTTATTATAAGGATAAGATAATTAATGAATTATCAATTTAGCACAAATTTATAATGGCAATTAAGGAAAATAAGATTTTGAGGATTTAATAAATTGATCCTTATAGTAAATTATCCTTCAGTAAAGGAAAGGAATACATACCTTAAGTAAATGGCTAGATTTCCTTCATAAGTTGCTAAAATATAATAGCAAACGACAGATAATTTCACACTCTCAATAGGTGTTCATTTTCAAAAGTAAGCAAGTAAGAGAATAGGTTGTTTGGCGAAGAGTGGATTCCAGCTCTGTAAATTAGGTAAGTAGGAATCTCGCCTACAGTATGAATAGATTTTAAAGAAAAAGTTACATATGTTATATATGCATGTTTATGCTTTAAGTATTATATGCGATGCTATGTCATGCTGCATACACATAAGCAGCGCACATGAATTATATGTGTTTGAGTTAATTTAATGTTATGTATACTATGCTAGATCATACTGCATACACTTAAGCAGTGCACATGAAGTATATGTGTTTGAGTACATTCGGTGTTATAATATGCTCTGTTATGTCATATTGCATACACTTTAATAAGTCAAGAGGAACTTATAAGAATAATTATCAGTTGAGTGCCGTACCAGCCTCCACAAGGGAGGTAAAAAAAATAACAATAATGTCCTCCGACTCAAGGGAGGCATTCCAGTTATAATCACGGTGTCGTGGGGGACCTTGCAAACCCTCACGTTCCGATGATTGCGCGCAAGTGGTACGCGAGCACTCGGGCCCATCAGTAAGAAAGATAAGATAAGATAATAAGATTATGATAAGACATCATAATTAAGCATAATCAGCTCATGCATATTTATTCATGTGTACTTACAGTTATTTTGTGAGATATAGTTCCTACTTGCTGAGCGAAAGCTCAATCAGATATGTTCATGCTGTAGGTAAGAAACCTATCAGCAATTCTTGAAGGGCAATGATGAGCGGCGGGGGAATAGTGGGGATGGGAATGGATACCGCTAACACTTAAAATCTTCCGCAGTAAGTTCAAGTAAAATCATGTATATGTATATATGATTTAAAGGTTTCAAGCATGTATGTTTAAAAAGTATAGGTACATATGTAGGTTAAGGAAACCGAGGTTGTAGCTAACAACCCTCGTTTTGAGTATTTAAGTTTTAGAACGTTGCAACAGGGCATGCAACAAATAAATAAATTTTAAACATGACGATTTAAATGATTGATTTTAAATGGGCTTTAAGATGTACTTGAATTTAAGATTTCTCACGAAATCGGTTTTAACGTCAAAATTAAATGGCCCGATTGAATTGGCTAGTTTTAAAAAGGCTTTTAAAGAGTATTTGAAATAAGAGTTCAAATGCTGCTCTGTTTGAAAGATATTTCTAGATCGTTTTATCTTGACTGAAATTAAGAAAAGCTTTAAGAAATTTAATGATTCACTTATTTGAAATTATTGTTATAAATTATGAAAGTATTCTTTCTTATATTAAAAAAAAAAAAATATTCTGTAAATTTTAAGAAACACCAGTAAGTACAAGTTAAAGCATAAGTTACAGTAACGGCCTCATAGGAGGGTCGTCACAGCTTGTGGGTGAGGAAGAAGCTGATCTGAAAATGCATAGATGCCTTGTATTTGTAGATGATGGAGCTCACGGGTTGTTACTTTTCATTTCCAACGATATTTGACTTTCCTTTGAGATTGACTTTCTTATTGACTGGTCAAACTTGATTTGTTGCTCATTATAAGTTGCTCTTCGTGGTTCTTGAGGATTTGGTTTCCTCATTTAGATGGCAATTAATCTCGATCAATGACTTAATTCTTGCCGCATAAATCAACCTTGATTTTTTTTTTCCTTCTTGATTCCTTTAATCTGACTGGCTGATTTTATCTCTTTTCTGGATGCTTTAGTTGCCAATTCTCGTTTTAAGAATGTATTGAGGGTATTGTCTTGTCGCTTATTGTCTGAGGCTGAATGTCGACTCGTGGAATCGGCCTGTGAGATTGGCTCGTTTGTGATTCGTTTAGTGATTTACTAGATTTTAAGTTGTTATGTGTACGATGAGAATTGAGATACCAATTTGACCTCAACAATGAGCAATGTGTGACTTTCGTTCTAAGACTTTTGATTTTGATACATTATATCTCTTGAGCTTTAATATTTTAGTTTTACTCTTTGTCACTAAATTGGTAAATAACTTTTGAAATTTCTTTACAGTAATTACATCATGATTGCATAGTGACTGGAATTTTTTCTAGAGTTACGTTAAATGATAAATTTTGTAGTTTTTAATTGATTTTAACAATAATCTTAAAGAATAATTCGCATTTAACATTAATTATTTCTATAAAAATTTTAGTTATTATGTGACTAGGACTTGATTATCACTATTAAATTGAGAAACTATCAATTTTATCATGTCAAAAAATCGTTCAAAAGAAGTAATGTGTCAAAATCAAAAATTCGGTAATCAAAGTGACACGGTAGTTGTTGTAATCCAACGAGCAATAATATTAATAATCCAATTGATTTTCAAGTTTTTGTTTACATATAAAGGGTCCGTTCGCTTTGCAGATTTATCAGTTTTGAACTTATGAATAAGTTTAAACCAGTCTTTGGTTCATTTTTATGAACAAGTTTTATCTACTCTTTGGTTCATTTTTCTGAACGTCTGTTGTGGTTTAGAACTCATCTAAATAACTTTACTCCCTCCTATGTTCTTGTGAGTTTGAACTTATTTGCTACAGTACTTCTAATTTAAAACCATGATTTTAATTTTAATTTACTCATAATTTTTACATTAACCAAACCCCACTTTTAACTTAAATATATATATTTTTTGCACTATTCAGATTTTATACTTCTAAACATCTGTTTGAACTAGAGTAAAACCACACAAATTCACAACTTTTGGTTCAAACTCAAAAGAATGAAAATCACACCATTCACCATTTGAATCCATTAGCGAACGGGCCCTTGATTCATCATCATCTCGTTGTGCTCTTGTTGCCTTACCCGACAATGCCACGTGAAATTTTATAAGCGAAATATTTGACCGAAATATTTTAAGTTGAGGATAAGCACTACGCGATTAACTCTTCTCTAACTAAATAGAAAGACGAAAAGTTTGACTTCTCACTCTTCTTAAAATCTCTCAATTAACAAAGTAAAACCCAGTTTTCAAACGGCCAAACTTCTCCAGAAACATTAATTGGATGCCCCAATTAATTGTGGTAGACCTTTCATACACGTAAGGAAGTATCGAACTTTCCGTGTGATAAATGAATATTTATACGAGTTTTCTGTACATAAATACAATCTCTCCTTTCAATTTATAGACGAAGAAATATAGGCATGTAGAACAATGGCAGTGACTACATTACTAACATTGTCATTCCTTCTTTTATCCTTCACTTCAAAGCCAGTGTCCGCGGTGCTTGACCTCTCTGGGAAGAAACTCCAAAAGGGTGTTGATTATTACATCTTGCCAGTCATTAGAGGTAGAGGTGGAGGCCTCAAACTAGCCAATGCTCGCAACAAAACCAGCCCACTCGACGTCGTCCAGGACCAATTCGAGGTCTCGAGCGGTTTTCCCTTGACATTTTCGCCTGCGAATCAGAATCAAAGTTTCGTTTGCCTCTCCACTGATCTCAACATCAAGTTCTCTGCCGCGACTACTTGCGCGCAGTCAACAGTCTGGAAATTGGATAGCTTCGACGAGTCGTTGGGGCAGTGGTTTGTGACGTCCGGTGGGGTTGAGGGCAACCCTGGCCGTCAAACGATAAGCAATTGGTTTAAGATTGAAAAGTATAATGACGATTACAAGCTTGTTTTTTGCCCCACAGTTTGTAATTTCTGCAAAGTGTTGTGCAGAGATGTTGGCATCTATATCAAGGATGGGATAAGGCGTCTTGCGTTGAGTGATCAACCGTTTATTGTCGGGTTCAAGAGAGCCTGAGTATCTTCAGATCACAAACTTAAAAATTGGAACTCACATTTTGTTACATGTAATGTGCTTACTTATTATCAAATATGTCATGATGCGTTATTTACTTGTTAAATGAGAAATAAGAGAAGTAGATGCTTTGTTATTGAGATTGATATTTATGTATGCTTAGATGCCATGTTTTGGGATATTTTTTGTTGCATCATGAACATTTTCAGGCAAGATTCTAATTTGATTTCCCTCTGTTTGCAGTACTTATTTTATTAGGAATCATACAAAGCCAAGTATAGGTCTGCAAAAGAAAACTTATTAGTATGTTTCAAGTAAGCAGATTGGTTTCGACATACAAGCAATCAAGAATCTAAGGCACTAAAACCTTAGAATACTATTTCGAAACATCTTTAAATTCTTCATTAGTAAACATAAGCTATGGCGCAACAATTTATTTTATCGAACATATTGCTGATAATAGTGCTGCATCACGCTGGCCTGGGCAAAAAATTATTTAAGCTACTTAAATTACAAGGCATTGACCAACTGATTCTGGATTTGAGCAGGAAACTATCCTATGTAAAGATCAAAGCCATGGCAGAGAGAAGCATAAAGCCAGTTTGTCCTTTTCAGCTCCCATTTAAAAAAATCTTTTATAAAATAAAATTCCTTTACTAGGAATCGAGATAACAGTCAGAAAATATTGTACACGACTGTTTCTTCTCCTCCTAATTTACTCTTGCTTTGTCTTTTTTTTTTTTTTTTTTTTTTTTTTTTTTTTTTTTTTTTTTAACCGAGTTTATTCAAATAGCCTAGTAAGAAGGAAATTTAAGATTGTCTGCTAGCATACTTCATTTAGAATTTGCCCAATGCCAAAAGTTGAATTTGACTAAATCCATGATCATCTCTCAGTCATCAATTAAAAATATGAGGACTATAACTGTTTTTCAAGCTTGGATTTTTGGTCATTGTCTTAATTTCAGCTAGTTATCTTATCTAATTATTGACCCCAAATTTTAAAAGCATGAAAAAAAAAAAACTTCCTTGTACTTGTCTAAAGGTAAAGATATAGACAACAGCTACTTTTGTTGATTAATTACAAGGATAGATATCCAAAACTGAAAAATACAAAACTCATGTGCTAGCATAAAGGAGAATTTTCTTCTTCTCTGACTTAACAAACACATAGGCCTAACAGAAAGTTCATAATTTTGACTGTTACACTTGAAGTCTTTCACATTTTGTTGGCCATTGTAAGAGCCTTTATAAGGTTTCTGTAAGCTTTCTCGTACCGCAAGAATCCCATAAACCAAAATTCAAAATCATCTTCAGTAACAATTTCCATGTACTTCTGTGCTGGGTTGTTCACATTCTCGCTTTGGTTGGCTCTCTTGATTTTCTTTATTGGTATCACCACCTGTGGAAAGACACATCATATTAATCTCTTTCTTTCTTAAATCTTTCCTTCTTTTTTTTTTCTTCTTCTTCTTCTTAAATAAAATTGAGATGGAGTATTTAAACTCTAATGTTCTACGGTAGAGTTAGGTATATAATTATGTTAAATTATGTCTGCAATCACTACGAAAATTCTTAATCTTTTGTCATAAGTCGGTGAATTATTAAAATACCTCGACTCCTACTAAACTCGTTTTTCTAGGCGGCTACTATTGAATCTTAACTACTACGCTACGCGGAAACTTGTAAAAAATTCTAATGCTTGTTTAAGAAAGTCAAAGTCAAGTTATGCCCTTCCTTGTCATTTTGTTTCTTTTTTCTTTTTAGAGAATTTCACGACTATATATGTACAAAATAATGAAATATGACGTTCTGTACCTTTTTTCTTAAAATAAAATTTTAAATTGTTAAGGGTGTGTTTAGTCGGTGAATTTGTGTCATGATTCGGATCATAAATCGTGACTCGTCATAATATTTTTTCTCATAAAAAATATACATAAATCAAAAATAATTTTAAATTATGATTCTAAATTCATAAACTAAACGTCTACTCAAAATTATAACTCAACTTTTATAATTACACCAACCACAGAAAGAGAGAGGAAAGAAAAAAAAAAAAAAAACGAATCCCTTTTATTCCCACCGCGGCAACTAAAAGAATGTCACTTCTATAACTTCTCAGCGTTATTTGGAATCAACCACGCATAATTCAAGATCACTATTTTTGGAGTAAATGATGAAATCTAAATTAAAAACGTTAATATGCAAAAAAAGTATCTGATATCTGACATGAAAATGATAATAATTAAAAGGAAAAGATTGAAAATAGCTTACCCTGTATGGCGTTCTAATCAATTGTCCAGTTGCAGAGGGGAAAGTAATGGCTCTTTCACTGCAGAAGGCAATCTTTTCAGTGGAAATAAAAAGTAGTCCAGCTATTGGGCCACCTGTTGTAGATAAGTAACACTGAGAGGCCTTCAAGAGTTCTTCACCTTCCTTCACTCCAAATATTTGTTTAAATATATTCCCTCTCCCTCCTTCCTTAATCACTTTTGCCCCCAAGCTCAGCTTCCCCTTAACAGTCTCAGAAAACCTTGACCCAAGTTTGACTGCCATTTGATACAATGGAAAATCAATTATTACCCTTTATTCTCAACAAAGTATTGGACTTATTTTCACAAGACTTTCATGCATGCTTGTGGGAATATATATATATATATATATATAGATGTATTTATATATTCCTTACCATGCTCTCTGATCCTGTATGTGAAACTAGCATTTTTTCTTCCAAAGTTTTTCTTGTGACCCTTCTTTGGACCCGCTTCATCTGCTCATCCAAGATATAATAGCCATAAACATTCTATTTGTTTTATTGTATACATCTAATTAAAGTGTGCGTGTGCGTGTGTATGAGAGAGAGAGAGAAGAGAGAGAGAGAGAGAGAGAGAGAGAGAGAGAGAGAGAGAACTCACCTGTGTTGAAAGAAGAAGAGGCATCTGAGTAAGATGGGCTTTGGCATAAGCTAACAGGTTCGGATAGAGAAGAAGGCCTCTCAGGAGTTGTGCCGTATGAGTTTGTCAACGGACTTCCATTAAACCGATCGGCAAATTGGTAACGCATTTTTCTTTTCTGATAAGTAGAAAGTTTCTCGCAAAAAGCTTTGAGCCTTTACGAAAAATTCATCGAATCAGGCCCTATTTAACTTATTGGTTTGTTTATTTTAATAATGAATGCATATTTAATGCCGATATTGTAGTCATCCATAGGCATATACAAACAAAAAACGATATAAATGTGACGTGGAAGAACCTAATATAAAATCAATACAATAGAGACCAAAGGTCTTGAATTCTAGATTCTCTTTGTTTCTATTGATCAAACTTTTGAATAGAAGGTGGAATTCTAGAATGTGGCGTCATATCGCGGCAAGTCCCCAAGTGGGAATTAGACGACCTGCCCATTTCCAGCTTCAAAGTCAAGAAAAGATGGCCATTTGGAGTAGGGACGGCAACGGGGCGGAGTGGGAGTGGAGAATGATTTTCATTCTCCATCTCATCCTTCAAAACAATCATCGTTTCCGCCTCCATCCTCATTTAAGGAGAGACGGGAGTGGAGTCAGAAATTCTCTGTTAGGGACCATTTTCCATACCCGTTATATTCTTCATCGAATGTAATTAAGTATTTTAAAATTATTATAACTTAAAGCAAAAATAAAGTAGAAATTTAATATAAATTTAGACCAAAATTAAAGGTTTATCAATACAAACTAAATTAAAATATATGCCGAAAAAAAAAAGTTATAGAGCCAAAAATGGTCTTATGAAAAGTAATAAATGACCCATATACAAAATGTATAAGCATGTATATTTTTATAAAATGTATTATATTGTATATAACATATGTATATCGGGGCGGGGGGAGTGCTTCTTTCGTCCCCGCTCCGCTAAGATTCAGGGACAAGATTTTGTCCCTATCTCCGTCTCCATCCTTGATTATTATCCTCCATCCCCGCTTTATTAGCTACGAATCTTCGCGGGGCTCTGTCTCCACGGGGAATATTTCCATCCCTAATTTGGAGCAGCCATAAATACTAATGGTATGTTTAAGGCACTCTAATTTATATTCAAACAATATTTTCTATCAAAAAATTTAGCTTTAAAAAGTTTTATTACACTGTCTTCTCATAAAATTTGAGTTCTGATTTGAACTAACTTTCTAAACAGAATCTAAGAGAGATAGAGGGAAAAAAAAATTCGCAAATCTAATTTTGTACTTAATGCAATACTATACTTATTTGATGCCAAATTAATGTATGCTGTACATGAAATTAAATTTAACATAATTATACTAAACGTCGAGTTAAATATTCAAATATAGTATATGCCTTGAGCTAAGGGTTGATGTGTTGATTTTTTGCACTTTTTATAATTATATGTATAATATTGTAAAATTTAGATAGGTGTGTAGGGAGATTCAAGGTATGTTGGGTCATTCAAGGTATGTGCAGGTGAGGTTTGTACTCATCTGGCGATTATCCACAACAAACCTTTCTTGTAACATGGTGGTTATTTATTCAATTGGTATCGACAATCGACTATCAATTCATTATTGAGATTTCGACTTTATTTAATTAAGTCTTATTGACATCCTCAAGATTAATTAATTTAATTAATTATCCTTCTCTATAATTCGATACGTTTTTAATAAATTGATGAATTAATTTTACTAACAAATCAGCTAATTCTCCTTAATCTTTCTCAACCAATTTAGGTTAATTATTTCTTCTTTACTTAAATGATGTAAATTAACTAATTAATTTTACTAATTAATCAGTTAACTTCTCCTTAGAAATTAGGTTAATTTCTTCAACTAATTAATTACTTTATCTTCTAATTAATTCATTGAACTAATTAATTAATTAGTCACCTGATTAAATTTTAACTTTATTATTTATCTAAAGTCTCGCATTTTATCTTAAGTTGATTTTCCGTAGGTTTACTTTTAATTTCTCATTAGGTTACTCTCTAAGCCAATTTGGTCCATTCTTATTCCTAAACCTTTTAAGGTTGGGCTGGGGTTTAGAGGTCGGGCTCTAGCCTTATTACCTAGTAGTTTCCTTAGTTGTTAACTTATGTGTTACTTTATCTTTTATTCGGGCTCTTTGGACCCATTTAGGCTTTGTATTTTAATTGGGTCCATCTAATGCCTCTAGTCCTCTAAGGGAATTTGCGTTGGATCCGACGTGATCCGACATTGGTTGACAATTTTACCCTTAGGAAAAGTTACCATTTTACCCCTAACGGGTATTGACCATTTTAAGAGCTCGTTTGGTTGGAGGATTCGTTTCTTGATTCAAATCATGGTTCATGGTTCGCTACAGTATTTTCTCTCACAAAAAACACACGTAAATAAAAAATGGTTCTAATCTCATGGTTCTAATCCATGAACCAAACGGGTTCTAAGTTACGAATCTATGCCATTCACTACTCTAAGCATTCTGCCCTCAAGGGCCTCGAGCTAAAACTCGGAACTCGGTGTCCGGCATACCATTATACCCTTTTTCGATCATAATGACCATTTTGTCCCTAACAATTTTCTAAACTTGAGAGAATATGGTAATAAGTTTTACTTTGTTGCCTCTTACAACACCCATATTAGCGCATGTGCTATTTTTCTGTTTGGTTTTGACAGAAAATTAAACGAGGGGGCAAAGTGGACGAATTTCAAAACTTGAGAGAATATGGTAAAAAGTTTTAAAGTTAGGGGTGATCCCAAAACTCAAAGATAGAGCGTGGATGTAAATAAGTCCAAAAAAAAAAAAAAAGAAAACTTATTTTCATTAGTCCAAATCCAACTAGGGGTATACTTCACAGGCTAACTAGAAGTACACTTTTAGTTGACCGGAGTTTGATTAGGGTTAAAGACAATCCAATCACCCATATATCCCCAATATTGGTGTGCATTTGGTTTCCACTTTCAATAAAATGTGACATTTGATAACTAATAAAATAAAATCAGCACACGTCGCCTTCCTCATAGGTTGTTTGGTTCACGAACTACTAGGGCTTATTTGATTTATGGGAATTCAAAATTTTGAAATTTTTGTGAGATAATAAAACACAACAAAATTTTTATAAATTCAAATTGTTATTGAAGAAAAAACTGTAGATCAAATGAATAATATAGAATACTTGAATTTAGCAATAAATAACAAGTCTAATAAGAGAAATACAATAGATTCTCATTGTTTAATTTCCTATATTAGAACATTATAAACATTAGTTGCACTCCGATCACCAATACTTAAATGGTGTAACACACCTAACAATTAATTTGGCAGAAAATATAGAACAAATATATGATAATCTCACTAATAGCTTTCTTAACATGGAATGAAAAGATAAGCAAGAAATTAGAAAAGTACAAGAAAATATGGATTATATTAAGAACCAAGTGGGAGAAGGATGTAGCCACACAAAGAAAAATAGAAAATCTTAGATATCCTAATAAGGGCGACATCAAAGATCTAATTCAAACCATGAATCTAGCACAACCTAGGAAAATAGAATTAGACGCTCATAAGTTGTTAGAAGAAGTAAATAAAAAGCTCGATAAAATAGAAGAAAATACACTAGAAATACAAGACACCACAGAAAAGTTAAATGAAGCATTGAGAGAAATCAAGAAAATAGTATTAGGATGAATCACTATAATCAAGCCTTAGAAAATACTAATAAATACACCATTTATCCTGCAGGCAAAAGTTCATTTGAAGCTCTTAGTGAGACAGATAATATTTTAATAGCACAAAATAACACTATGATAGAACTCTTACTTATAATTATAGAAAAATTAGATAATAGTCAACCACAGAAAGACTATGCTAGACAGTTAGATGAAATTTCTGAAAAATTCAAAAATCATAAAGTATCAGGACAAAAACCTAGAATAGAATTATAGCAAGGAAGGTCAATATTTGGAAGTTTTAAACGATGGCGTTTTGAATTAAAGAAAATCCTGGATCTAAGAGAGATATTATAAGCCAACCATCTATTCTCCAGAGAATAAGATCATTAAGAAAAGATAAAGAAAAGGGATATGATCGAGTTGGAAGAATTAATAGATATAGATAAGCAGTTAGAACTCTTTGACAGAAAAGGACTAAATGCAGTAAAAGCAGAAAAAATTTCTGAAATTAATCCTAGAAGACAAGATTCTAGATTAATTAGAACACATAAAGAACATAATATAGCATGTTCTCATAACCCGTAAGCATAGAACCACCCTTTCACAAAATATGTAACCAATCAAATTGATATTTCAACCTAATCCTCAAAGAAAAAGATATGTTCCAATTATCACCAAAAAATATTTTCTTTTCCCTTGATGGAATAATAAAGCAAGAAAATAATTTGCCTTGTACAAAACGGAAAAATTCATACTTATCAAACTTTTAAGACTAAATTATGTTGTGGTCTGTAACAGTTAATGGTCTGGACTTCTAAAGTATGATATGGAAACTCACATCATAAGTACGTGAATATTTTTTGTTGAAAGATTGTTTTATGTCCATGACGTAGAACAATATCAAGTTTACTTAGATTACGAAGAAATATGTGACTTTTAAATCTCACATCTTTTATGATTTAATAGAACATCTGGTTCAAAATTTGCAACGTCACCAAAAAAAAAAAAAAAAAAAAAAAATTACTTTATGGTGCTAAAGGCAAGAAATTAATTTAACATTATGAAAATGTACTCATTTAACCTTCAATGTGATTTTAAGTTGAAATGACATATCAAACACTGAAAGTCGAAATGGAAAAGCTCTGTCCATATTCCTTAAGCTCATGATTTGTATCATCCTTTAACTATTACGACAAAAAACGGGGCTCTTGTAGAATATCTATTTTAATGGACATATATAAATAACTCAATGTTATTTTTATACATTCATGATCGTCTTTAATTCTAATTTGGTGTATTTTTAGTCCATTAAAATAATTCATATTGAGGAAATTATATTATTGTTGCTATTCTAAAGAAAAGTTTCATAACATCATAATATGGAACATTGGTTGTAAAAGTTCATAACGTCAACCTATTAATTCACTTGAAAGACGCAATATATAACATCCATCTACAGTCTACGTGCATAAAAAGTTGGGGCAGTATTGATATATTCATCGTCTTTTTTACTTTC